TCTCTCTCTCTCTCTCTCTCTCTCTCTCTCTCTCTCTCTCTCTCTCTCTCTCTCTCTCTCTCTCTCTCTCTCTCTCTCTCTCCTTAATTAATGCTTTAGAGAATATAACAGCGATTTGTTTTATGAGAAAAACAATTTTCAATTAAACCCTAAGACTGTGTGAACGCGTAATAAAAACCCAGTTTTAAAAATCAATAAATAATTTCAATATATTTTTTTCGACACTCGATGTTAAGTGTTTTGAAACAAAAATTAAGTTTCAATTGAATGCTTCACTTATTAGATATTAACTCCGAATCAAAAGTGCATTAAATGTATAACTTATATATGATATGAGGAAATATACGAAAGAGTGCCTAAAGTTTTGTATTCCTCACATAATTTCTCAAAAGAAACACTAATTAAGATAAATTAAAATCTTTGAGGTTTTCGTACAGATATTATCTCTACTGAATAAAAAAGTGAAATTAATTACAACTTAATGTTTTATTTGATTTTTTGTGAATAATTTCTGTATTATATAAATTTATTATTATTTGTCAAAAAACACATTTAATGAAATAATCTCAATTGACCATGGTGATGCATGTGATGCATGTCAATGGCTTTTCTATCGACCAAAACATGTTTCATTTAAAAACTATTTTTCCGCTGAAAATAAATTTCCAACCATTTTATTCAATCAAAAACTATTTATTTAGCGCATAACTAAAAATGTAATGTTTCTCAGAAAGCATTTCATCGTATAAATCGTATAACTAAACCAAATTACACGTATATTTGATGGCAAATGTGTGCTTTGAGGGCACAAAATATTGAAAGAAAACCCAACACTTATACAAGTCTTGTATCAATGTTTGCATAACTGTTCAGAGGTTTTACAGTCGGCTTATAGTCTGATCCGAATTTTTGGGACAGTTGTTGTCAACGAATCCCAAGATTTAACATCTTGTGAACCCTTATTATAATATACGGCTCTATTGTATTGACATTTCCTTTCCTTCACGATTGAACACTTACTACAAAATTCTTGTATTTCATTGTTTTAATATAATATTTACAAGTCTTTAAGTGTGTTATCAGTCTCTCAGCGATTGTACAATTGTTTAATGAATAATTCAAAAGTTAAAAACTTTTTAAATTTATAAGTTTAATAGAGGGGTAATAGAGAGACATATCCATAGCGAGCCCCGAGAGGACATCCTCTGAATGTCTATTAAAATAATAAGCCATTTGTGCACAGATTTGACAATTGATAGGACAAAGAAAAAAGGGAGTGATTTGAGATGTAATCAAAATAAGGTTCTGCTAATGTTATTACAGACGAATAGTTTAGTTGTATTGTATGGTTTGGATGTCTTCTCCAAACTTCATATGAAATCTAATGTTGCGTTCACTTCAATGGAAGAGCGAAATAAATTGTATTGAGATTTGCAATCATTTAAACGAATCAACAAAAATAGAGAACAGAAGAGAAATAGAGATTCAATGGACTAAATAAATAGATTTGATTCTATAAGAGGTTTAATTTTAATTAACAATATATATAAGAATATAATAGTAAGGATTCGCTTGAGTTCTGGTTTAGAGTTTTGGTTTTTGAGGTTTGCTTTTGAAGAGTCCAGTTGTGCTCCGGAGTTAGTGTGCGTGAGAAAGCATATAATTATGATTACAGTATTACGGCATTGGGCTATACATAGGGCTATGCATGGGCTGTATAGCTGTTATTCAACAGCGCTGGCAGTTAGTTGTGTCTGCGATTATACCTGCAGTGAATCAATTGCCACAACCTTTGCCTCTATAGAAATCAAATCAGAAGCTTGTAATACAGGTATGTCTTACAGTGCAAGACATTACATACAAAGCACTACAGGCTCTCCAAAACGGATGTGAAGTGTGACTCAACTCATCCTTAGCTCCACTCTTCGACTCGACTACCGATTTATCTCAAAAATGATTCACAAAACGCCCACTTTTTTCAATCCAAAGGAAATGCCGAGAGAGAGAGAGAGAGAGAGAGAGAGAGAGAGAGAGAGAGAGAGAGAGAGAGAGTTTGTATGAGTAACAACATGTATAATAACTTTAAACAGTATTTTGAGGGGTTCTTCGAGTTGATCCCAAAGGTTGATCATTGGTTGGCTATACGTAAAGCGTGTGTGAGAAGTGATATAACGTGCAAATCATGGCTTTAATGTCCTTGAATTGGCTTAAATTGATTGACGATCGGACGGACACTACACTCGACGGGAACTGAAGGCTCACTCTCTTTACTTTTGTCATAAATCTTGGAGAGTATTAGTTATGAGATAACAATCAATCATTTTATAGACCAAACAGAAAGTGAGTGAAGAAGAGAAAGAGTTTTGGCCCCAAAAAACATTATATAAATATTAAGCACACAAACAGTGAGAGAGAAAATCATTTCTTTCTTCAACTTTTGTTCCTTTGATTATATAAATCGATAAGAAATAGATTTTTTTCTCTTCTTTTTCTACCGATAACTATGTGTTGTGTCCTTAAAAATAATACAATACAATACGAGATGTCATTTAAAAGTTTAATTTCATGTAAACAGTCAAACAGTGCTATGATTTTCACATTAATTTCTCATTTATAAACCATTGATAGTTATATCGATTGTTGTGAAACAAGTGGTGAATAATTAGCGTTTAGATTCTCATGGATTCTCATGGAGTGGTTGTTTGTGTTCTTGAAAAATGAATTTTTATTTATCATTCCTTAACAATAATTGTGTTGTTTTTTATGGCATTTCTCTGTAATAACAGTGTTTTTCGTTGTGTAAAAGAGTTTGCAATTCAAGCGAACGGAATAACCAAATAATCGTTTACTTAAATGATGTCGAGAGTAGTGTATACTGTATATCAAGCCTTAATGACTTCACTCCTCCTTCACCTCTACTTTCAATTACATTCATATTGTTTATAAAGATTTGAAGAAAAATCTTTTATTTTTAGTACACTTCAAGATTTCGCTCATTGATAGCATTGATTGCAATAATTCATTCAATTTATTCACCAATTAATTGCTTATCACAAGACTCTCTGAGTTTTGAGAGTTTTAGCTTTTTTTATATGATTCAAACTCTTAAGACTTAACGTAATGTTAAGCAAAACGGCTTTGAATTTAATGCGAAAAACGGAAAATCAAGTTTTTTGTCGTCAATTTCTTCTCTATTTATAGCATTGGCTTTGATTTGTGAGAAACAACTTTTTATACTTAACTTAACTCTAACTCTCCCAACAATTTTAATACCCTATACTCTACTCAACGCTAATCTATACATATAAATGAGTTTCAGACCCAACCATAGCTATCAACGCGATTACAATGTTATATAATAATATTGTCTACACTATTATGTAATTCAATACAAGCATCACATGAGCGCTAACTCTAAACCTCTGCAAACACTACAAAACAATTATTGTATTCATAATAAAAACAAAAAACAACTTTTAAATGAGAAATACGTTAATAGAAACGGCGATTCAATGCTATTCTATGGGAATGTGTTTTCTATCAAATCATAAGAGTTTTTAATTTTTTAAACTTCACTTCAGTTTAGACTGCATTGCATTGAATGGCAACGCATTTGCGCACAACATCTGTGCCTTCACTCCAACCCAAATGCGAGTCACAAACAGTCACTTCCAGTCGCGTAACACGAGTTGCAAATCGCTGCCTATTGAGCGACGTTTTCCCCCTTTACTACCACTAACTCACCAACACATCAACCATTGCTTATTTTAAACACATTTATTACAAAATAACTACAATTAATTAAGAAATAAATTGAACAAATGTGCATGCTTATATCATTTCCCTGAGTGATACTTATGTAGGAATTTTATGTCTATAAAAGATAATTGTTATTTCGTTATCGGAAATTGATTGGTATTGTTGTTGTGTTGCAAATTAGTGAAAGCAATTGTGTTTATAATATTGAAGTAGTACTCGTATAATAAGTATTAAATGATAAAAATGATGGTAAATTCAAAGATTGAATCCAATCCAACTGTTTTGTGAGCGCATAACAACCGGAATAAGGCATATATTGGGCGCACGTCTGGAAGGCGGGCGTAAATGTTGTGCACAGATGTGTTGGCAGTCGTGCTATGGGTTGAGGTGTTTTGGGGAGCATTCGGACAGCCATTACAGTAGTGTTGCTCTAAACTGAACGAAGAGTTGTTATGTTTGTGTCTATAAGAGTGAATGCAATGAATGAATACAACACTACATATACAGTGATTTTGAATGCATAATACAGTTATCGATACGATTTCAATGCAATCGTTGTTTTGATTACACAAACAATCGTTGATTGCATTCATTGTTAATTGTGTTGCCGAAGACAGCAATGGATTAACTGATCCGCCAATACGTGGTCTACAATGTTATCAGTGAGTGATGTGAAGACATATAACGTATAGCTTATAGTGCAGTGAATGCAGTGTTTATATGGATATGACTTAAACGGCCCCACAATTGGTGTCCAATGAGTAAATTGTTGGCCAAAATGTTATCACTATTATTGGTGTTATGTATGGCTTTGTGGACATCGGAAGCCGTATGGATGGAGAATCAGATGCCGAAGAGACGGATCAGTCTTCGAGAGGCCGATGTGCAGAGGTTTGTGGGCAATGAGACGGATTCGGATCACTTCAAACTTCTTGAACAGGACGGCGACTCAGTCCTCGTCGGCGCCACTAATATCGTCTATAATATCAGTCTTTTGACTCTTCAGGAGAATAAGGTATGCATTCATACCATACATAACATGCCATCCATTATCTGTCGCACAGAAATACCAGAGGTGTTGGGTATTGAGGGCTCGGGTATCCAATTGGGACGGCATTGGGTTTGCAAACAATTAAGATAAATGATTGTCATATTATACATGCGATGGCATATCATATGGATTACCATAAGGTCGAAGACATGCCTATCTCTGAGTGTGTCTCTCGCTCTCTATCTGTTCCCCCAATCCGTGTTCCCAATCGTAAAGTGCCTGAAATGGCAGTCAATAAGTGCTAAAAATAATCTCCTCTTATAATAGATGTAAGAGTGGAGGCGATGGCAACCAAAACAGATATAAACCCCACAACACCTGAACCCCAGACCCTCTGAACCCAAACTGACGGTAACGCCAGTTGTGGTCATAATATGTGTTATTTATTATCTCTTTCTCATCACTGAATCCCGAATCCAAACACCAAATGAATATAAAGTGTAATTATTTTGAGCACGTTTTGCACTTTTCAATCCTCTTCTTCTCATTTACACTATTTTCTTAACATTCAATTCATTTCAAGAGTTTTGTCTAATTTTATTCAATACTATTAATAAACTGTATATACAGTACAGTTGACTCCTATGTGTGAACAGCTAATCACATGAACATTCAATATCGTTGTTAATACAGTGTATAGAGGAGTGTCTGCACCCAAAGGTGCATCAAATATAGGTTTTCTAATAAACACCAAATGATCATCAATATTATTTGGGCTACAATCTGTTCATACTATACTTTACTGTACTGTACTGTACTGTACATGGTTGTTTTGTTAAATTAATACAGTGAAAGTTAGAGAGAGAGAGAGAGAGGGAGAGGGAGAGGGAGAGCACGAATCTGATGAGATATGTTGTTGATTAGTGTTGTTGTTGAAAATAGATCTAGTACAATTCCACTCTACCATAAGATGGTTCACGAAAATGAAATTTTATAACATTAAATGTATGAATAAATGGATAAATGTGTATAAATTGGTTGATAACATAGAGCTGTTTGGAGTGAAGATATAATTTGATTTGATAGCATAGCATAGCATCCATACATCCCATCCCTAGTTTAATATGAAAGCAATTTAAGACTAATCGTCACTCGTTTATAATATTCTCAATAATAAGTTTTGTCTGAGAATAGATGTGATTAGCATTTCGTGCAAGTGTATGTAACCAAAGCGTAGTGTTGGGTTTGTGGTTAGGTATGTGAGAGAATGGTCACTACTTGGTTTTAGATTTAATAGTGATTACTTTCATTTCTCACTAAACATTAGATTAACTTGTCGATATTAGTAATTATGGCCCAAAATATAATTACAAATCATAAATAAATATCTTGAATGAGGTTTAAGTAGGTTTTTGTGATACAATTATTTGCCAATTCATTCAACTGTCAGTCCAGTCGTCGATAATTGATTGCAATTTACTTATCGTTTCTATTGTCTCTATTCTTATGTGCCTTTCCCTCCAAACAATCAAATGAAAGACATAAATATTACATTCATTTACTGTACAGCACTGTAGAGTAGATTCAGTCAATCATAAGTCTTACGCACATTTCAATGGTTCTCTTAATTCCCTGTTTTTTACACTATATTCTCATTTATATTCTTGATATATATCATCAACTGATTTGAATATAAGTTATATATATTTTTTATGTGTGAGTTAACCCTAAAATGACATCTTTCCCCATCTCTCCCTTGAATTGATCCCAATATTTCATTTGTCTCTAACTTGTGTTTAGGAATTTGTTGTCCTTTTTCTCTCATTCATATGCTTAGGTAATTAGAGTTATATAATAGCGGTTATGATATGATTTGTGTGATATAGACATATTTTCCCAGATAAATAGGTGTAAACTCAACCTCAACACAAGTTTGTTTTCTGTTTTCTTGAAGAAGAGATTTCTCTCACTAATAGAGAATGTATTGCAAACTGAAAGCCATTATTATATTGATGTGAGTTCTGGTGATCACAAACACATTTATATGATTTATGTATCCATTTATATAATTAAACTTAATTTTAATAATCCATTAATCTCAATATATTATCGCCAATACTATACTAAACACACTATATCTGTATAAAAGGGTCTATTTATCCACATTTGAGTTGGAGTTGTGTTCAAACAAAAGACAAAAGAACTTCTTCTCTACAGTCCGTAACATTATATGATTTTAACATTATATGGTTTATACAGTAAATCTCACATACAGTATACGCTATACATCTCATATACAGTACATTTCTCAGGCTTTTATGAGCATTAATTACGTTTAATGTTGCGCCGACAAGGCTGTCTGACAAATAAATGGTATTTTAATATTAAAGGGGTTAAAAATAACTATAAAAACAACACATAATTAATGCTCACAAAAGCTACTGCATGTGAGATTTAGTGGATAAACCATATAATGTTAAAATCATATAATGTCACGGACTGTATTCTCTCACTAATAGAGAATGTATTGCAAACTGAAAGCCATTATTATATTGATGTGAGTTCTGGTGATCACAAACACATTTATATGATTTATGTATCCATTTATATAATTAAACTTAATTTTAATCATTTGATAGTAGTTTTAAACTAATTAAAAGCTTTTATAAGCGTATGTATGATATGTTTAGTGACAAAACAGTTGTTTAAATTGATTTGAACTCAAAAAATAAGAGCAAAAAGATCTGACAATAAGACAAGACTAAGAGAGCCGTTGTATTCAAAAGCAATTTCCGTATTTGAGTCGAAAATCATTGTTTCCTTTGGAGTTGTGATCACTATTTGTAGGAAACGAATCAAAATTGAGATTTATTTCTATATATGTATTAAACACACTATTCTTGTATTACATCTCATATTCGTTGATATTTGGACTAAACTATTGATTGAATGCAAACAAAAAAACACATCCATTGAATGAATGAATTGAAATGATTTATGAAGGGCTGAGATGTGATGGACTCGACTGTGAATGTGTGGCCAAACATCACAGCGAATATAAATGGATGTCAAACAGGGGTTACGCTCTCATGTCGTTCTCCTTCTCATAATTACCGCACGAATCGAGTTTATGACTGACTTTAGGACCAAATGTACCACAAGTAAGCACTGGCAGCCAGTTTGATGCCAGTCCTCTCTTCACACACTCACTCTCGCACTCACTCACAGGTCCTTTTGTTCACTCGGATTGTGAGCCATAACGCCATAAAAAGCTCGCAATATGTATAATAGGAGAGCCCTGGATGTGTGATCAGAGCCTAACACATGACTGACTACTGGTTCCCCTCATTTATGGTCATTTCAGTTCATATAACCGGTGTTCCCCGTAATGACTGTATGAGTCGTTTAACCATTTATTATCGCGATCTTTATTTCAAGTTTTAAAAAACGTTTAAATGTTATACTCATCCAAACGGCTCATAAAGTCTCACAATTTTTTTCGCACTTTTTTGAAGGGATTTAGGATTATGTAACTTATGTGTGCATAGACTGTGCGCCAAAGTATTGTATCACAAACTCTACACTACAGACACTACAGCCCAAGCGTTAGTCAGACCTAAAAACGGAGAGGATTTAAAACCGCAAATCCTTATTAAATGAGCAAAAAGTTAGAGAAATGAAACTCAAATAGGAATTGGTTTTTATAGATTAAATCTAAACTCTAAAACCTGTGATAAATGAGTGAATGCTTTAACATTTCATTGTCGTATGACTTATGGCTCGGCTATAAATATAAAAAAATATATATTTATTTCTATGTTTTAAATAAGATTCGTTGCGTTTCTTCGACTTCTTATCTCATAAACTGAGCATTTCTTATGTCAATCGATTTGTTTCATTCCAGTGATGGCCAGACATTCATGATTTTCTCTTCGCAAATGTCTTTCCAAATCATAATTTATATTATATTTTCTTTTCTTTTTGTTGTTGAAAACATGTCTAAAGCCTTACCTCTTGTGCCGCCAAACGCTGTATTAATTATACCCTAAATACTAGAGAACCCGGAGTTTAAGCCCTAACCTCTGCATCGATTGACAAATACTGTATATTTATTAATAATTTTATGAAACTTTAATTAACAGAGACTCCAGTGGTATAGCACTGACGATGACATCAAAATGTGTAAATATAAGGGAAAGTCAGATGAATTGTGTCAGAACTACATTAGAGTACTCTCTAAGAGATCCGCGAACGGACTCTTCGTCTGCGGAACCAATGCATACAAACCAAAGTGTAGACAATATGTGGAAAATAGCTTAGAGTTTGAATTAGTGAACGAACAGTCGGGCGAAGGCCTGTGTCCGTACGATCCGACACATCTATCGACGGCCACATTCTTCGATGAGAACCTGTATGTGGCGACAGTCGCCGGATTCAATGGCGCCGATCCTCTCATATATCGATCGCCGCTCAGAACAGAACAGTTTAATCCAAAGCATTTAAATGGTAAGACTCCACTCGACTCAACTCTTTAATGCTATACATAAATAAACACCATTTAAATGGCATTGCATTAAACATTGTATTGATTTCTATATCTGTTTGTGTGTTTAGCGCCCAGTTTTGTGAACTCATTCCCTCACAGCCAACACGTCTACTTCTTCTTCAGGGAAACCGCTGTTGAGTACATAAACTGCGGTAAATCGATATACTCTCGAGTGGCCAGAGTTTGTTCCAAAGACAAGGGCGGACCGCATAAGTTCCGCAACCATTGGACCACTTATACGAAGACCCGACTCAACTGTTCCATTCCCGGAGAGTTTCCCTTCTATTTCAATGAAATCCAAGCGACGACTTCACTCGTCAAAGGCATATATGGCGGACATAACGCACAACTCGTTTACGGAGTCTTTACCACTCCTTCCAACAGTATTAGTGGTTCCGCTGTCTGTGCTTTCAGAATGGATGACATCCACAAAGCATTTGACGGTCCCTTTAAAGGTCAAGAGGCTATTGACGCCAATTGGCTACCCGTGCAGTCATCCAAAGTGCCCGAACCCAGACCCGGCCTCTGTGTCAACGATTCGCGACAATTACCAGATCTGACCCTCAATTTCCATAAAGAGCACACTCTGATGGACCAATCGGTGCCCGCCTTCTGGGGCGCACCGGTTGTCGTGCAAACCAGCTTTAAATACCGTTTCACTCACATCGCAGTCGACCCGCAAATAGAAACCGCTTCCGGAAAGACATTTGACGTGCTATTCATTGGCACCGATGACGGCCGAGTCATCAAAGCGATCAACTCTGCCAGCGGTGCGCTCAGTGGCCATCACTACCACAACTCAGTGGTTCCGGTGGTGATCGAAGAGGTGTCAGTGTTTCCCGTCGGCACCGCAATCACTAATCTATTGGTTTACCACACCTTTTATGAGGCGAAGCTTTTGGTCGTTTCCAACAACGAAATCAAATCTATAAAACTGTTCCACTGTTTGGCCAAAACGTGCGGTGAATGTGTGGCCCTTCAGGACCCGTACTGTGCGTTTGATTTGGCGCGACAGCAGTGCACTAGTAGTAGATCTCGTTTCTGGAATCGCGACAACTTTGTCCAGAACGTGGAGGACGGGTGGGACCCGCGCTGTCCCGACGGCCGACCGCCGCCCACAGAGAGCACTAACAGAACGCCGCCCTTCTCTGACCCGCATGTCGTGAAGCCGAGTCTCACCGATGACTCGCCCTCGGATTTGGCGGCCACAGAGCAGACACCCATCTATAGCGGCGAGTCGTTCGCACTGGCGGTCACCACAAGTGTCATCACATCATTAGTGTTGGGCTTCATCTTAGGCTACATATTCTCGCGCCGGTGTCGCAAAGAAGACCCCAACATCTGTTCCCCATATGACGACCCGCACCAGTATTTGGACGGACGACTGACGGCGTCGGACACATTCCAGACACAGTCGGGCCATAACAACAAACCCATAAATTTAGTTTTAACGACAAACAAGAACTCAAAAAACTTGAATCTGTCGGTAGAGAACAAACCCATTCAGAAGGTGAAGAAGATCTATTTGTAGGGCACCGGCAGTTCAACCATAGGTTCCTCGACACCAGTGATTCGTATGATTCCGATTACGAAGACATTAGCGAACTATGAGTTTCAAAACACCCGAACGGCAGTGGAATGGGATCAGAATTCTTGTGTTGTTCTCCACCGACAGATAATCTCTATATTCAACAAACAATTACTCAGTTTTTTAATGAAATTTTTTTTTCTGCATTCAATGCTAAGAATCTCTTATGGATTGAAATGCAAGAAACTATGCATCAAATTATACAATACTTTATGCAATGAAATAACGATTTAACGATATATTAGCGAAAAAATAATGTTATGTTTTTATTAGAAACACTTTTTATTAATATATATATTTAGTGCTTCCGTTTCAATGGGAAGAAATTTCTTTATATAATCCAAACAGAAAACTAAGTCAACAAAAAACTTAATCCAAATCCGAGAAATATGTGGAGAGAACTGGAATACAAATGATGTGTTCGTCTCATCTTTCGCTTCATTTGCTCACAAAACCAAACCATAACATACATCACAACCACAACAACAATAATATCACCCAAACAAACAACAACAGCAACTCATCACTAAATATCATCTCATCATTCATTAAGTGTTTCATAATTGAGATAATTCTGTGATTTTTGTTAATTTTAGAAATTTTTTTATATTATTTTAACGGAATATATAAACAGATTATTTATTTCTAAAGTGTGTCACAAAAGGGATGCACAAAAACTGATGCGAAAAATATATATAAGAAATCAATAATTAATTAATTGACGCAAAAATTGTTTCATTAGAAAGCAATTGAATGCCAAAACGAGGACAGGGTTTACATCAGATTTACAATCAATTGCTTCGAGTTCTAAGTTTTATTGCTTTTTAATTAACTTTTAAAATAAGATCACATATCGATAATAAGAGATAATTAATATACAGTATATCTATATATAAAAACAATTTTAGATTAAAAAATGTTGATTTACAACGAAATACGAGTTTTACATTAATTTATTAGCTTTTATTTGCAAATCTAATGTTTTTGCAAAAAATTAAAATATTATAAATTGTATTTTATTTCCACTGATAAATAGCTATTACCGGTATTAACGTTTGGATTGTAAACTAAAGCCATTCAAACACTGTATTATTAATAGTAAAACGATAACAAAACTCGAGATTTTATACATTTTATTTGCAAAAATGAAAAAGACATTTGAAAATAAATGCACTCCAAAAACAACAAAAATGTAAATACCATTTATTGTACCAATTCTTCAAACGTCAAAAAGCTCTCTCTCTCTCTCTCTCATATTTTGCATACATTTTAAATAAAATATAAACAAAAATACATATTTATAAGCAATGAGAATACGTATGGATTAATATAACATAAATATATACATGTTTAGCATTCATACAAAACATTGTTGTTGTTGTCAACGATTCATTTGATTGAATACAAGTGTGTATTCGTTTACCACTCGTGTCTGGCTTTGAGAGACATCGCTAAACGTATGAAAAAGTATTGTGTTTGACATATAATAGTTTGATTGCAATGAGCATCATGGTCATTTTGATATGTAATTAAATCATTTTGTTTTATACAATATAATGTAATAAATTCAAATGTTACATTTTGAATAATTTTGACAATTTTATAATAAAATATCATTGTTTGGTATTTAGAGAATTTTAACCGCTTTATATTATTAAATATTAATTATTTAAAAATCTAGTTATGAAGCTCATATAAATTATTACTGCACTAAATTATTACAATGCTATTTTAATTAAGTTATAACTAATCGTTAACGCTACAAGTAATTTCAAAATTATGAAATGTAATTTTTTCATATAACAAATCATAAGTTTCTATCAAAATAAGGTACAAATATTTGTCTGGCATTTGCTATACTGATAGCCACGAGATCCCAATCCCGCATAACTAGCTATTTATTTATTGTTTTGTTTGCATTTACGTAATCAATTCAATATACAATATACAACCCCCCAGTGGTGGCCCCCAAATACGTACAAATACAAGCCAACGTGTGTTTATAAAATATTGTCCCTTGAACGTTTAACTAGTAATTCCACCAATTTTGTTTAGTAAACAAATACAATACAATTTGATAAATTATGCTAATATTTGAAATTCTTGCTCCAATTCCTATCACTTTATTGTAGAGTTTAAAAGCAGTTTAATAAATACCCGTTAATTACAGACCCTTTCCGTTCCCAACAGCACCCGTCCTGACGACCCCCTCTATCACTCTCTCCCTACACCCCAACCAATGTCTGAAAATTATTGTTAAATGCAATCATTTGTAAAGATTTTGATTTGTTGGGATTTTTTTCTGATGACTGTGTTTTGAAAAACACATATTATATGTGTTTCAGATTTATTATTATTATTATTACTATTAATACTAAACAAATCTGCAGTAGATTTCTCCTGACAACAGAAAATCGGTGCAAAAATATTCACTGAAAATATTAAATGACAATTAATAACAAATATATTTTAAACCAACAAAATATTATATACAGTATATGTTGTGATTCGTATGTAATTTTTGGTTTTACTAAATGTTTAAATGAAATTCATATTTATTTTCTGAATTTAAAACTTGTTTTAAACTTTTTTTAATGTTATTTAAAAGTGATTTTAAAAAAGTGTGTGAATATTAATACGTTATTTTAAATTGTTTTATTGTTACCTATTATTTATGTAAGAGAGAGAGAGAGAGAGAGAGAGAGAGAGAGANAACATGTATATATTTATGTTATATTAATCCATACGTATTCTCATTGCTTATAAATATGTATTTTTGTTTATATTTTATTTAAAATGTATGCAAAATATGAGAGAGAGAGAGAGAGAGAGAGAGAGAGAGAGAGAAAGTTAAATGATTTTTAAATAATTTACTATTTATTTATTTGTTTTTGTGTAAATTTTTTGATTGGGATTTAATAGTCAATCAAACCATTGAATCGATAAGTGATTTGTTTGAGGAAAAAGGAGGACCAGGATTACTGTGAACACTACAGTCTACGCCAGTTATTACGCTCAACTCCACGATTACAATGTATTTGTGCCAATAGTTTAACAGCTGTTCTGTCAAATTCTGACGTTTAGTTACAAATTTAATATATAATTTTTATTTTGTTTAAAAATAGTGACATTTAAATAGATATTTAAAACAATTAATACTAAAAAAAGTAATTATTTGTATTTAAATGTCATTGTTTTTTGTTGCTGTTAGGTCTCTGTACGAACGGATGTGTTTCACCATGTTCATTTGCGACCGGTTAGCAACTCTCTCTCTCCCTCCCTCTCACTCTCCCGACCGTAGATTTTAAATGCATTAAATGAACAGTTGTTTGGGTTAAGAGATGTAGTGATACAACACAACCCCTAAAATAAATAATGTATTATTATTGTTATTAAAGGTACAAATTAATGGTTTTCCTAAAACTCAAGAAAATATTTTTATTAATAAAATAAATTTATTACTTTTAATGCGAAAAGAATGTGTTATAATGTTTGTCCTCCAAAACCGGATGTGTTATCTGTTTTTTAACCATAAGTTACATCTTTGAATATAAAACTCACTTATTGTTGACTCTATTTGTCTTTAAGTATAAAAGTTTAAAAGATTTGAATTAAATTAAAATAAATGATGAGATGAGAGAAGATTACGGCTCACAGTATAGGAAATAACCTCAACTCTGAAGACAAGTAAATAAAAAATAACAAGAAATGTTGTCTTTTAACTAATTTACTACAAATTCCTCACTAATTGTCACAAAAAAATGTTTACTTCATTTCAACTTTGATTTCAATTTATAATAAATATTATTTTAAAGACAGGTATAAAACGCCAAATATTAAGTTATAGATTAAATGCTTTTTATTTTAGAAGATTGCACTTAATTTACAACTTATGGGATGTAAAACACTGTAAGTAATGGCTATAATTAATATGAATTAAATAATGTATTATTATTGTTATTAAAGGTACAAATTAATGGTTTTCCTAAAACTCAAGAAAATATTTTTATTAATAAAATAAATTTATTACTTTTAATGCGAAAAGAATGTGTTATAATGTTTGTCCCCCAAAACCGGATGTGTTATCTGTTTTTTAACCATAAGTTACATCTTTTGAATATAAAACTCACTTATTGTTGACTCTATTTGTCTTTAAGTATAAAAGTTTTAAAGATTTGAATTAAATTAAAATAAATGATGAGATGAGAGAAGATTACGGCTCACAGTATAGGAAATAACCTCAACTCTGAAGACAAGTATATAAAAAAATAACAAGAAATTTTGTCTTTTAACTAATTTACTACAAATTCCTCACTAATTGTCACAAAAAAATGTTTACTTCATTTCAACTTTGATTTCAATTTATAATAAATATTATTTTAAAGACAGGTATAAAACGCCAAATATTAAGTTATAGATTAAATGCTTTTTATTTTAGAAGATTGCACTTAATTTACAACTTATGGGATGTAAAACACTGTAAGTAATGGCTATAATTAATATGAATTTTAGTTTTTGTTATCCTTATGTATACATTATATGCAATATTTATAATATATTTCGTCTGTTATTCTCTAGAAAAAGACTAAATTTTATGTATTGAATGTTTGTCTGAGATATTTGTCAAATGCAGACATAAACTGTTACTTTAAGATTATGTTAACAAATATTAACAAATGTATGCATAAATTCTGTGTTTTCATAAATTTTGAGTTTCCAATACGTTTGCAAAACAGACCCAAAAGGGATTATTTCTAGTAAATAGGACTATAAATAGGAATCACTGAATCGGTTAACATTATATACAATGAACTGCAGAATAGCAACCGTTTTCTCCATCTTTTTCTTTCTTTTTGTTAACCTTTTACTTAATTTTAGGCAACTTTTAAACTGAAAGCCTTACTCTATACGACTTTATAGCCTCTTAACTATCAGTTGAACCGTCAGTTTAATGATGTTTTATGAAAATTATTGGAATAAAGAAGAAAAACAAATTTTACTTTAAATGTAAGCGAAAAACGAAAGAATTGGAGTCAAGAATAGCCTCAGGTTTTTGAAAGACTCGCAAAAAGACGCGTTTGAGTCGCGAAGGCTTAAAGTTGTGTATAATTCTAGTTTAATATAAATTAATTACCAGTACTTCGAGTACTAAATAAAGTGTAATCTCTAACACAGAGAAGCGCTCTTTCCATGTTTGCGGGCATTTCTTGTTCACCTCTCATATGAATCGAGACATTCATTGAGTTTCAGTTCCCATGAATTCGTTTCAATGAATATATCGTCCGATTAAAAGTCACACTAAAAAACTGTTTCAATAATTTGAAGCCCGGAGTCAAACACATACAGACTCTGTACAGTGTATTAGAGACACCGCGAGGGCTAACAAACTCGTCAAACATAAGACTCTGTGTATTATGTTTGATGACATCCAAAGCCGTCGAAAGACTGTTGAAATTAAAATGAAATGTTTCACAAAAATATTTCAGTTCACATTCACTTTTATTAAAATTCAATTAATAATAATATAATATATTTATATATAATATATAATTAAAGTTTTATAATACAAATACATCACAATTACTATAATATGATGTACTAAATCAGTTGTACATTTGTTTGGTTCATACAATCGGTTTCATATTAATTACAATAAAAAAATCACTTATATTTAAAAACGCAAATTAAATAAAAATATTTAGAGAGAGAGAGAGAGAGAGAGAGCTTCTCTGTGTTAGAGATTACACTTTATTTAGTACTCGAAGTACT